AATTTTAAGCACTTTGGTTAAAGTCAATCACCTTTCATTTCTAAGTGAAAATTGTTCAGCAGGTTCGATACTATTTATATCTAATATTTAACTTGATGGGATTAATATTCATGTAGAAATAATTTTTTTTGTAATTTTACTAAATAAGTCACACTTTTTTGACTTCACAAGGAAATTTAAGCAATTTGGTCAAAGTCAATTGCTTTTCATTTCTAAGTAAAAGTTATGCAGCAGGTTCAATACTATTTGTATATAAAATTTAATCTCGATTAGATTAATATTCATGTTGTAAAATGTGTTTTTGTAACTTTATTAATATTACGGACTTTTTTTTTAACTTTACAGGATAATTTGAGCATTTTGATCAAAGTTAATCACTTTTCATCTCTAAGCGAAAGTTATTCAGCAGGTTCGATACTATTTATACCTAATTTCCTATCACTCGTCAAATGATGTTATACCAGTGAAAGATCACAAGCCTGATTTATTACTGATTCTTCACTAATAATATCCTGATGATCATTTCCAATACCCCACTGATTCTTGTTCAGATTTTGAATAACATCAGTAAACTATACTTTATAAGTATTGAGTTTAATCAGTGAAAAATCAGATTACCTATCAGATAAATATTATAAAAGCATCAATACTGGTAGTCTCCTTATTTATATATGATTATCATTTGATATTTATAATATTATCTATTATTATTTAGCCGAAAATTATACTTTTATTATGCATATATATTATACAAATTTATACAAGCTATGATATAAACAATATAAGCTATACAAGCGATATAAAATATCTATATAAGCAAATTATAAAATTTTTCTTCGAACATGTCCTTTATTCATTTTTGTTTCCCCTATTGATACCAACATTAGAACAAATCATTGGTTGATGATCGTCACTATATGATCGAAAGATTGACCATTCCAGAGCTTCTTCAGGTGGTTTAGAATTATCATATCATTTGTTATCTTCGTACCAATGATGTCATAAAATTTTTACATAGCTTATTTTTTCGCCAGCATTATCAGATAAATGAAGTAAATCACGAGCCTATTAAACAAAAAAATGCAATCAGAATCGATGGATTAAGCAAAATAAATAACCAATTACTTACACGACATGACTTCTATGATTTATTATAAACATGAAGAACATATTTATCTATTGTTTTATTTTTCAGTCGGATATTCATATTAACTTCTTTTGGGCGAGTTCATCATCACTCTCAGATACTTCATTACTATAGAATTCACCTTCATTCATCAATAATTCACAATCATTCTTGAATTCATCCCAAGATAAAGAGGATGGTTTGAGATCGATTAATGAACTATTTTTGATATTGAATATATGAGATAATCCTTTTCGATGTCGCTCTTTTTTCTATATAGATTAAATAAATGTGATAATAAAATTCTTAACTCAATAGAATAGTTTACAAAAGTACTTACATCACTTTTACGAAAATTGATCCCTTTTCTTTTCTTTTCTGACTTGACTTTTTCTGGATTAAGACTAACCTTTCAGTTCTCATAATGGTGATGATGCAATTGTTATAAAACCCACTTCAGCTCTGTATTTTTGTATTGAAATCTTCTCTTCATAACTTTATCAATCTCCTTCATTGTATGTTTTGCAATATGTCGGGTGATATCCGTCCATCTTTTGGTATGATCCAGTTGTAACACATCATCAAAATCACTAAGAATCTGCAATACTTCATCCTTATTTAAAAAAAATGCAATGATTAAAAAATAATAATTATAGTAAAAAACAATAACCTACATGAAAACTCTTATATTGCTCTTTGTTCATATCTTCAAGAACATTTCGAGCATGATGATAGCTAGCTTCTGATGCTGAAGTTATTGATATTCTTTTTCGATTATATTGAGTTGATCGAAATAACTAATCCGGTTCCAATTGAGAGGCTATCTTGATATTTCAAACCTCTTCTGTAAGTATATTAACGACTTTACTTAGGGTCTCGATCACTGTAAATTAATATCATTAATAATAAAAATATATTCTTTTAAAAAATATTAACTAAACCATATCATTATCATATCCTCTTGGCGAACGGCTATTACCAAATCTTCTCAAGTCCATGATGGTTAATGAACGGTTATTATCATGACCTCTTAGATTCTTGATGGATGACGAGTGGCCTCTTAAATCTCGAACAGATAGTGAATGACTCCTTTGAAAACTTGTTGAATGGCTATTACCAAATCTTCTCGAGTCTATGATAGTTGATAAATGATCATTACTATGACCTCTTGGATTCCTGATAGATGATGAGCAGCCTCTTGAATCTCGAACAGATAGTGAACAGTTTCTTTGAATACTTAGCGAATGACCTCTTCTAGTACTTAGTGTATGACCCTTTCTAATCCTTAAAGGTTGTTAGGTTCTCAATGTAGATTTTATAAATATGTACTTTTTACCTTGGTGAATGACTTGACAAGTAATGAGTGCATCTTGAATCTTTCCTTTCCAGTAAAGAATAACGAGGATATTTTTTTCTTGGTAAAGAACTTGATGAATAATAAGAGTATCTTGAGTTATTCATTCTTGATAAATAGTGACTTTGTGAACTTGTATCATATGATCCTAAACATCATTGGTTTATTATGTTAATTTTGAATAATTTTCAGTTGTGCATTTTTAACCAAAAGAATATAAACGAATATAAATTAGAGATTTTTGTTTTTTGTTTTTATTTTTTTTTCCTACTAATAAATAATACCTCTTTTTTTTTCCTTTCTTAGCCAAACGAAATTAATCTAACGAAATAGAAAATCAATTTATCAAAGTTAGAAAAATCAAAAAATCAATCAATTATATATTCATAAATTAAACTATATTTAGACTACAATTTAATTGCCTTATTTAGACATCTATTAAAGTTTCGTATTGATTACAAATTGATATCAATTAAACTTTATACCAAATATACTATTTTGTATATATATATATTCGATTTTTATACAACAGTAAATATAAATTTATTATTGTCACATAATAATAAAATTAAAGAAGAAATTATTAACTACAATGCCAAAAAAATATCAAAAAATGAAAAAATCTTTTGTAAAAAAATCCAATAATCTATCAGTTGATACTAATAAAAGTAAATAGAAGAAAGTACATTGTTATTATGATAAATGCAAAGGTTGCTTGGTTGATCCACGTACAGAAAAAAAATATAATTTAAGAAAGAATATTAGACTGAGAAGAATTATCGAAAATATAGTTCTAAATCGAGGTTTTCTCAATGATCCAAATCAAGATATATTGGTAAATCCTTTAAATGATCCAATAGAAGTTGACATATCAAGTAATAATAGTGATCAAACAATTAAACCTATTCAACCTGTTGAAAAATATTCATTTCTTCCCAAGAAATTACCAAAAGGCAAGTCAAAAGGAAAATAAAAAGGTATTGGTGGTGGTGGTAGTAGTGATATTAGAAAGAATCCTATCATTATTATTGAACAGAGTATTTCCGATAATGATGATGATGATGATAATGATGATCAGGACAACAGTGATCTCAATTCTATTGAATAAATATTCTTCATCCAGCAGTTTTGGTGCACTGAAAATGAAAGATGTATATGATGATCCTAAAAAACCTATTATTGATTTTAATGAAAGTTCTAACTGGATTGTCTTGTGAATTTTGTTATATCAAGAGAGGTATAAGCTATCTGATGTTGCTACCGATTCTTTGATTAATTTTTTTAGATATCTTTTGATTCTTCTGGACGCAAACACATATAATTCTTTTCCTACATCACTATACATGGCATGAAAATACTCGGTATATTTGCTCATATCGTAAAATATGCAGCATGTGAAAATGCTGTAAATTATATAATATAGCAGAGATATCAACCGCTAAGCTTACCCAATCTCCAGTTAAAAGCTATTGTACTTATATCTATTTACCAAACCATCTGATGGCAAATCAAAGAAAAGAATGTATAGCGAAACTTACCAAAACAGTTCATACTATAGATGGAGTGTTATATCAGCCTTCTTTAATATACCTAACTGTTAGTTTAAAACATTAATTATAATTGATGTACAATCGAAAAGGATTTGAGGAATCATGCAGGAAATAAATAGATTGATATAGTGATCCTCGATATTTGAATGATATTTACGATGAAAGAGTTTGAAAAACATTTTAGGACTAAAACCAAAATTTACCATTTTTTCAGAAGAAAGTGGCTGATAGATATCTGGGAATTATGCTAAATATCGATTAGTTTCAGTCATTCGATAATACCAATTACAGTGTAAGAGCTGTGTATAGTATAATATGCAACCTTTCACGTGAAAGGTTTAAGCCATCGAATGTGTTAACAATAGCTTTGATTTCTGGTCTAAATGAGCCAAGCCTACACTATATAAATCATTATTTGGGTCTGATAGTCAATCAATTAATTGAATTATAGGACGGGATTGAACTATCAGCAACATATGAAAACACTAATAAGCCTATTCGAGCTGTGGTAATATGCTGTTCTTGTGACATCCCAATCGCAAAAAAGCTTTGCGGTTATATATCTGCATGCGTGACCTGTCATAGATGTTTAAAAAAGGCACAATTTGATGATCATAATCAACCAAATTTTGGTGGATTTGATGATATTGATAAATGATTTGTTAAAAAGTACATCAATCAAGTTCGAAAAAATGCATAAGAATGATTAGGCTGTAATACTAAAGATGCTAGAATTATCCATGTACATGATACTTCAGTGCGCTGGTCTGAAATATACTGTCTCACATATTTTGATTCAATCTGATTTCTCATTATTGATCCTATGTACTATTTGTTTCTAAGTATCGCAAAATGGATTATAACATGACTATAGATTGAAGAAGGTTGATTGAAATAAAATGATCTTAAAATAATGCAAAATAGGACTAAGCTAATAAAAGTTCCAGCGGATATTGGCAGAATTCATATAAAATTGATACAGGAAAAGGATTCTTGGGTTTTATCACAGATCAGTGGAAAACCTTTATCCTTATATACGCAACTATAATTATTTAAAATCTACTTCAAGAATCAGATAGAGCGATTCTTACCAATTTTGTTAGTGCAAGCAATATTCTTGTATACAGAACTGTATTTAAAAATGGGTTAGAAGATACTCATAAACGACTTCTAACAATGGTAAAGCTTATCGAGAAGAATTATGATCCAGAAAAAATTTCGCCAAATTTACATTTATGTTTACACATTTGTCATTGTGCTTTATACTATGGTCTGTTATATGCATTTTGGTGCTTTAGTTATGAAAGGATGAATAGCTTATTAGGTAATTATAATACTTCTATCAAATTTACCGATCTTTACTTCATATTTATTAAATTATTTCATATTTATAGGTTCACACTATACCAGTAACAGAAAAATTGAGCCGGAACTATTGAAAACCATTCAGTATAATTCCTTTCTTGACCAGTTTTTTTCATATATTCAGAACCATCAACATTTATCACCTTATTTATCTTTAATAACGCTAAAAGAAACTACCAGTAGTCTTGCAGTTCAAGATGAACTCAATGGAATAGACTATTGTGAATTTTTATCAATGTCTAGAAATGTTAAAGAAATGGCCGGAACAGATTCAGAATCTTTTCTGGGTGTTTTTCTTAATCCTAAAAGGATAAATACAGACCTATCAAAAGAAATATTAGATTTGTTAGTTGAATATTATTGTGATATCTATAATAAAGATTTTGTAGCATTGTCAAATATTCATGTTGCCAACCCAGAAGCTATACCAGTACTTTCAAAGGTAAATATTTACGGGCGATTATGACTTAGCTCTGAAGTTTTCAGATCATCATACTCTAAAAGACACATCCGATCATCTAAAATTCTATCTCAATTTACACATGTAAATACTAAAGAAACTTATTCTAGAATTGTTTAATATTATTTTAAACATACTGTACATTTTCCAGAAGTATCTAAGAAACATTCTTTGGTATTCATAAGGTGGTATCTTCTGACAGAGAATCATAAGACTAGATTTCATTGCAAAATTAATGGCGATGATAATTCTTACAATATTGAACTATGGAAGAAAATATTTTACGATCTTAGTAGAGATTGTATAATTCCAGTTTATAGTATATTGGGTCAATTCGTTAAAGGTTCTTTTACAATAGGCAAAAGGAAATACATGTCAGTAATATTGATTAATAGAAAGGTTCATGTTTAGTAATTTTATGTATATGCGTATGGTGTAAAAATGAAAAAAAATATTTTTTTGATTTAACTTCGCAATGATTGTGCCAAAATCACATGATAAAATATAATTCAAAAGATAAAAAGCAGAAGTTCTTATTAAAAAAAAATTTAATAAAATAATATTCACGTTTTTCTCAATAACAAGTCATTTACATCTTTAACAATGATTTTTCTAGAAGAACTTTTTTTTTGTAAATAATACTTAGATAGCTTATCGGATAATATTATTTTGTAATATTGTAAACTCAGACCAAATTATAACAACTCCTATATATTTTGATGATTTACCGATACTTTTAAATAGATTAATAACAGATCATAAATGTATCTATTAGTAATCGGAAAACTGATATGTTGCTTATTATTTATCAATTAAAAAAATGTTGTACTTTGAAAATCATCAATATCTTATAAGGTATAATTTATAAGTCTATTGGAATTCCGATTATTTAATGATAGAAATAATAAAAATCAGTTAAGAATTAAAAACCTAATTAGTTCCGATTCTTAACCAGTTCTTATTATACCAATTCTTCATCATTTGACTTGTGTATGCTATCTGTTTACATTTTTTAATAATATTTTTATTCTATTTTATTAGAAGGACTTCAGTCAAAAGAAAAAATTTATTTTTGTATAAATCTGGTTTATATTTGATAATCTTTAGTAAAGAAGCTTGAAAGATATTCTTTTTAATAAAATACATTTTAGCACATCACTCACCTATTAAAAGCTACTCAGTACAAACTCTGTCTTAAAGAACATTGTCAGTTTTATTGAAACCTTCTTTCTCTTTAAGACTAGAAATATATAATAATAATATATATCTTTACTCCTTCTCAGAGTTAGAGAGTAGTCTCTTCTAATGTTTTTTATTTTCTTTCTCTTATATTCATTTTTGCAAAACTTTTCTTAACAATTATCTAATTTAGAAAGCTTACATAAACAAATAATACTAATTATTTTATTCAATGATAATTCATCCTAAACAATAATCACGTAATTTCATGTAATTTAATTAACAAAAATAATAATACAATTTTATATCATCTTTAACTATAGAGCTCTCTTTTCCTCTTTTTCTTTTCTTTTTCTTTTTTTACTTTTTCTTTTATCCTTTTTTTTTTCTTATTTTTTCTTATTTTTTCTTATTATTTTGAATATTACTTACTTACTTTCTTTTTTTAAGTTTTACAATTTTAATTTTTTTAGTTTTTCTTAAATAAAATATTTTTAAAGTCTTTTTTTACAAATAAGAATTTTATGTAAAGCATGTCAATATTTTTTTTATATTTGGTTAGTTTTTAAATAAAATTCTTTATATAGATTAAAAATTAATAATGTTATGCTAACACGTTTTTCTCCTTTACTTATTGATGGTAAAACTTATTTTCCATATAATAAGTGAGCCTATTAAACTCAAACAGATTTAAAATATAATAACAAGGGGTAACAATAGTTTTTAATTATTATTTTCTAAATACTGTATCTTGATTATACATGTTCATTTTAAATTCAAATAAACTTATTGTAATACTATATTATTAAACTTAAAAAATAAAAGATTATTAGCTATAATAATATATGATATAAGCCTAAAATAAATATATCAAAAGAAGACTTCAAGAAAAGGAAACTAAGGGAGAAATGTAGTAATAATAGAGAATATTTTTATGAAATAATTTAGTCATTAATTATAGGATTATTATAAATAATTAAGTAGTAATTATTTTAATATGATATGAATATTAATCATTAATGAAAAAATTATTATATAATTATTTTGTAATAAAATATGAAATTAGCTTAAAAATTTTATTATAAATAGCCATTAAAAATTATCATGTAAAAGTAACTTTTTAAAATTGAAATTTAAGAATATAACTTGTGATTATTAAGGAGTCATATCTATTTGTTATCAATAAAGTAATTTTAAAATAAATAAACCTTTGAATTTAAAAATCTTTATTATTAAAATAAATCTTTGAATGTATTTATTGTATTTGTTAACAAGAGACTTATACAAATAAAATCCTTGAAATTATGAATTTTAGTAGAATAAAGAATTAATTTCCTTTATTGGATTTTACTTAATCATCATATACTAGCATAATATCTTTAATTATTTTAAAGTATTTTAAGAATTTTGAAGATTAAGTCAATAAAGCTTTATACTTTTTTACTTAGAAACTTGAATTATAAATAAACACTATGATGAGATTTGAGAAAGAGTATATGACACTTTTTCTCACCTTTGATTTAAGAACTTAAATAAAGACTCTTCTAAATAAACGTGAGTTTTAGGCTAAACTCAGCTATTGCTTAATCAGTTAAGTGTTTTAGTTTGCTTAATTGATAGTTAGATAACAATATATTATAATATTGATTATTTTCATTTAAAATAAAAAATATATAAAATAATTTGAAATATGTAATTTAAATTTATTAAATATAGCTTAAAAATTAGTTAAAAATATCTTATAAATTAAATAAATTCTATATTATAATTTTATAAACTATAAAATTAAATGATTTCATATAGTTTTATATCTTGATATTTTTTTTTTATAAAATTCAATTAGAATTAAAGGTATTCTTTAATATAAATCTATTTAAATTAATTATTTTATTGAATTTATTTAGTAATAAAACCTTATATAGTAATATAATTTTATTCATATGCAAATAAATTATTTATTAATTTTTCTTATAAAAGTTTTTAAAAATGAAAATGATAGAAAGTTTTATCAAGTTTTATTATTTTAAATATAATTAGTATATTAATATTATACAATTATAATAAATATTAATTTTATTTTAACTTACCTAATAAGATATAATATATGTATAGAATATAACAAATATATTATAACTAATTTAAAATATTATGATAATTAAAAGTTGCTTATTTAAATTATTTAAATTTGACCAAATATATAAACTTTAATTACTAATTTTTATTAAGGTTTTGATATAGTTTTACATTTTTATAAGCTTTTATATAGTTTTATTTTTTTTTAAATTTTATAAATTTTTTAATAAGATTTTAATATAATTT